ACCCAGTGTCCTCTGGATAGGATGTTGGGCGGGCTCCAAACCCTGTCTTGTCACATTAGTGAAGAGAAATACTCCTGCCCTGTTACACCCAGTGTCCTCTGGATAGGATGTTGGGCGGGCTCCAAACCCTGTCTTGTCACATTAGTGAAGAGAAATACTCCTGCCCTGTTACACCCAGTGTCCTCTGGATAGGATGTTGGGCGGGCTCCAAACCCTGTCTTGTCACATTAGTGAAGAGAAATACTCCTGCCCTGTTACACCCAGTGTCCTCTGGATAGGATGTTGGGCGGGCTCCAAACCCTGTCTTGTCACATTAGTGAAGAGAAATACTCCTGCCCTGTTACACCCAGTGTCCTCTGGATAGGATGTTGGGCGGGCTCCAAACCCTGTCTTGTCACATTAGTGAAGAGAAATACTCCTGCCCTGTTACACCCAGTGTCCTCTGGATAGGATGTTGGGCGGGCTCCAAACCCTGTCTTGTCACATTAGTGAAGAGAAATACTCCTGCCCTGTTACACCCAGTGTCCTCTGGATAGGATGTTGGGCGGGCTCCAAACCCTGTCTTGTCACATTAGTGAAGAGAAATACTCCTGCCCTGTTACACCCAGTGTCCTCTGGATAGGATGCTGGGCGGGCTCCAGACCCCGTCTGGTCACATTAGTGAAGAGAAACACTCCTGTCCCTACTGAAAATTCAATTGTAGTCATCTAATCTGTAGTTGGTCACTTTACTGATTGAGCTGCTTCAGCTTATCACAATCTTAAAGACAAACAGGATAGTGTTAATATTACTGAAAACGATTTGAATCTCCTCCATGCACAACTGGTTCCCAGTAGTAGTTTATATGGCAACTGGCTATGGGCTGGACAACCAAGGAGTCAGAGTTTGAGTCCCAGGAGGGTCAAGAATTTTCTCTTTTCCAAATCATCCAGACCTGCTCTAAGGTCCTCCCAAGTGTAAAGTGGCCGGGCGTGAAGCTGACCACTCACCTCCAACTAGTGCTGAGGTCAAGAAAATGTGGATCTATCATCCACTCCCCCATATGCCTTCATGGCCTAGTGCTTAATTAGTTAAGTGCAGGGACAACTTTGCTTACCTTACCCTTATCTGCCTGTATTAAATTTGTCAGATATAACCCCAAAGTGTTGTAGTCACCATATTTGTATGTAATTGCTGACTCCAGATAACATTTATTTATGCATTATGGTATATTTAACAATACTATCAGTATCTTTGATTATACAGCTTGAAATTACAGAATGATTTCATGATTAATTAACTGGAAAGGATGTAGAGGGAAGCACTGGTGACCTAAAGTGAGGCATTAACCCAGCATCTGCATGGACTGATGAAAACCAGAAAGATTTCTCAGGATAGCTCATGTCCCAGCAGAGATTCAAATTTATCACCTCCTGAACAGAAGTCAGAACCTTGAGCCAACCAGCTTGGCACAAATATTTCGCATGTGACATGTGGGCATGTTTATATTCAAACTCCACACTAATTTTCACACTCCTAGCTCCAATTATTCATTACTTATTGCCATCAAACCTTATTTTACATTGTAAAAAAAGTACCTTGACAAGGGTTGCATGCATTTCCACGTTCTATTACCACAGATCACTTCAGGACCCTGAATTAAGTGGCACCAGTGTTGCTTCCACTTCAGAAATTTGTACATCCTTGCTGTTATTGAGTATGGGAAATTAGAAATTAAGATGAAGTGCCCTCCAAAGGCATAATGTTGACACCAGGTTTTGTGAAAACCAGTCGACTGATTCCAAGTGAAATGAGCATACAGACAGCATAGTGATCTCATAAGCATACTTTTTTACTTAAGGGAAATAAACTGAAACACTTTGAAATTCACAACACAGACTATACATTACTGTTCACTATTTTTACCTGGCTTATTGCTTGTTGCAGATATTTCTCAGAATTTAGAATGAAGACGTCATGGCATGCAGTGCAGTAGTTTGACGTGCATAGAGACACACCTGAAGATGGCACATTAGTGATGAAATATGTAGTGTAAAAGTGAAGAGGAAGGTGATATTGTGTGCACTGTAAGACGGTTAGAATAAATACACATCATGGACATTTCTCAGTCTAAGTCAACATCTGTGGAGTGTTTCTGGATGAACCAGCATTAACAATGGCAGCTGGCTAAGAAGATTCAATTACATCATGCCACGGCATTATTTATCACATTTCACACTGACATCCCAAATGATACAGTCATAGATGAAAAAATATACATGTACTAGAAAGTAAGAGTTCTAAAAACAATCTACATTACAAAAACAAATTTAACTACTTCAGCATTTGTGATTTTTCTGTCTCTGTACCTACATAATTCCAGTCTAGAAAACCGAGATTAACGGCTGTGGGGATCCGTTGCGCTGACCACGCGACACCCTGTATCCACAGAAGTTGGCACTAACTTCACCGACAAGCGGCAGTCACTCAGTCAGTATAGTTCACTTGCGGACTGCAGGCCATGGAGTTGTACCTACATAATAATATGGACTGAATCATTACACCTAAAATATGCAACATTTTATTATTTTATGTTACAAATTTGTAATGCTTTGTACCATAAATAGATCAAACCCTTATTAGTCTTAATGTAAGATGAAGGGTATGGTCTTCTGGGATGTAACACCATATACAGAGAGAACCCAACAGTTCAGAGGAACGTATTGTCTCCATCTTCAGGGTAGAAGAAAAAAGAAGAAAATCCGTGAGCGAGGAACCAGTGTGAGCAGGTGCTAACAAACTAGTGTCTGACATTAGTCAGCATTAGCACCTGTTCCTGCTGGTTCCTTGCTTGCAGACTTTCCCTGAAGATGGAGGCGATACGTTCCTCTGAAACATCAGATAACACAATATCTACATGGTGCCACATCCCAGAAGACGGCCTCCTTCAACTTATGAGATGTTCACACAGCATAACTATTCTAGATGCAGTCATTCTGTTTTGCCTGCATACAGCATAACAGCATTTAGTTTAATTATCTTAAGAACAATATGGTACAGGAAAAGTGTATTGGGCATAAAATGTGAGTTCCTCTGTTATCTACAACTTCTGTTTAAAACACGTTTTGTTCTAACAAATATTTAGTATGTTAGGTGCAAAAGCATGAGATGCATTTTAATTACATAATGTGTTCACTGTTGTTCAATTTTAAGCAAAATTGAAATGTATTAAGATGTTTTTTGGTGGAACTACACATCATTTTTCACAAAAATCCACGCAGAAGCTCTCATGTTGATAGATGCACATACAGACAGATGGACATGCAACATGACAAAGCTAATATGCATATTTTTGCAACTTTTCACTGCAAACGAACCAGCTAAATTGAATATTTCTGCACTTGCATTATTCTCTTAAAACTTAGTTCCACATAATAATATGTATAATTAGAACTTGGGCTAGAATATTATGAATTAAGTCTTGGAAATTACTGCTATATCAAACTTGCACTGTTGGTCCACAACATGAGACTGGCAAGATGCCCTTCACTGTGTTCAGAGATTAAGAACTCATGTTGAATAGCAAATAGATTACATAACATTTAATTAGTTTTGTACAGAACATATTAATCTCTAAAGAATAAAAATGGCATTCAGAATAAATGATGTACATCCTTTATTTATTTATTTATTTGTAGTTTATTAGTGATGTCAGTAACTCAGACTATATAGCATTAACATATACATTCCTTAAACCTATTCCATGTTTTCATTATTAAGACAATAAAATATTACTGAACATGAGGCTGGAGCAATTAAAATGAAACAGTAAGATCACATGACACATGAAGACACCTACTTTCTATTTACGAGCTATTTTGTGATTTGAGAGCTAGAATCCTGGGACGCTCTTTTAGGAGTTCAGAGCCAAAACCAACCACAGCTTTCATTGTGATTTGGAGATGACAGCCATTTCTGTTGGTGGACAGGGTGTTGCTCTGTGGTGTTTTGCAAAACTGACTTGGGGATTGAGTTTATAATGCTTTCTTAAAGTATGGCATCTCCCTTTGAGTTCTATACACAGAGCAAGCCACCACAGATGCATCTTTACCAGTCAGATGAGGAATCTGACTATTAATTCCAATCCTTTTGCAGTCTTTCAAAGGACACACAGATGTTTTACTCACTGCAGGAGAACACACTTCTTTGCATGTGTCAGACACAGAAGCTTCGGTGAACTGATGCTGAGGTTCTTTCAAATTCACGTCTCTCTGAGAGCTTGGGTTCGGCTGCAAGTATGTATTATCAGACGGAACATTCTCCTTCTCTGTACTTAACCAGTTAATTAGAACTGTAAGATTAGCTTTAATGTCTGCGCAGCAAATTGCAGAGTCCGGACTTTCTGTGGACACTTGGGTCTACTCTGGATGGCGACTTCATTACTTTTAATTTTTCTTTTCGGTGGGAACCATTTGGACTTTTCATTCCATGCTTCTGTTTAGGAGTTCCAATCTTCTTGGGGCTATCTTTAAAATTATACTGCAAATCATCTACACCAGATTTTGCTACCAGAGGTGAATGAATCCTCTGAACTGACTTGCTATGACTTGATCTAAAGATGTTGGGTTTCTTGGCTGGGGCACCTATTAGGGATTGAGTTACCTCTACATGACATGCAAATACCTTTGGAATATGTACAAGTTCTTCTGCTCTAGCATCACTCATAGATTTCTCCTTCTCATGATGTCCCACATTGCAGTTTGCCTTTGCATCAAGTAACTTCATTCTTTCCAAAACCATACCAGCATTCCAGCTCCTTAACTTTGCTACAGAAGCTCTGCCTGTAACAGGTGCAATACAACACATGCAGTCACAAGGGAAGGACACAACACAGGACACAATATACACAAGAATATAGGAAGAGTACTCCCATACGAGAGGATTGATGTAACTCGCGAATTTGAAGTGCGACATAGAGATGATAAATCTTGAAAAGTTTTAATATATAAACTTTATTATTATACATGATATATACACATTTAAGCATTTTAGAAAGGAGACATGATTGCATACAGTGCAATGGTTTGACGTAAATAAAACCACACCTGAAGATGGCACATTAGTGCCGAAACATGTAGTGAAGAGAAAGGTGAAATTGTGTGCACTCTAAGACGGTTGGTACAAATACACATCATGAACATTTTTTAATTCAAGAGAAAATGATTAGAACTATTACAGGATGCAGAAGTAGAGATTCATGCAGAGAATTATTTAAGTATTTAAACAGTCTGCCATTCAAATTTTATACATATTATTGCTTCTCCTGTTTCTTATTTACCAGGACCAATTAATATTAAATATAGATGTCTATAACATGAATACTGTAGGGCACATGGTAGCAGAGTTGGTTTGAGGCACTATGCAACAAGCTGGAAGGTCGCGGGTTTGATATCTGATAAAGCCATGGGATTTTTTCAATTTACCTAATCCTTCTAGCTGCACTATTTCCCTGTGGTCAACTCAGCTTCTAACAGAAATAAGTACCAGCAATCTTCGTGGGGCTAAAGGGCAGGCGGCCTGTGTGTAAGGCTGAGAACCTCACCACCATCTGTGAGCTGACTGTCTAGAAGATGTGGGAGCCTTGACATCTCAGAACCCCATGAGCCTTCACAGCCTGTTACATGGATAGGTTTACCTTTTATAACATGAATACCAGACAAAAATATAACTTTCACCTACCTTCATCAGACATATCACTACATCAAAAAGGAGTCTACTAGCATAAAAATGTTCAATAATTTGCCACATAGTAACAAAACAGAAGTAATGATACTAAACAGTTTAAATTAGCGCTAAAGAATTATTTACATGCTAGTTCCTTATACGCTATAGAAGAGAACTTCACTGTAAACAGAGAACGATGTAAAATGTATGTTATATAAATTTTTAAGATAAAATTGTCAGTCCTATGAACGGAACTTATGACTTGTTCTGTATCTAAGGATTTATGGATTGCTTAGGATTTAGAGAAAGAAAATAAACATAATTAGCTAATGGATTATCACATAGCATATTTAGGAATGGTGGAGCGGCCTCCGTAGTCTAGAGGTAACGTTCCCACCTCATGACTCGTGGTACGCGGGTTCAAATACCCGGCGGAGGTCGTCGAATTTTTAAGGGTGGAAAAATTCAGGGAACAAGTCCTCCAGGAGGGACTTTAAGCCGTGTGTCCCATGTTGTAACTTTACGGCACGTAAAAGAACCTCATATCTCCTAAGGAGATCACTGAGCAAAATTCCAGGACGTTTCCCACCCAACAATAGTCTCTAAGGCCTCTGATAGATGGGGAAAGCATTATAGACACCATCAAGCAAGTGAGGCCGAACTCGCTTGCTCGGCAGGACTGAAGGTATGCACCATTATCGGTAGGGTATAGAGCCTGGTAGAATATCATAGAGGGAAGCACAATGGACCAATACTGGTCTAAGTGCATGGAGAAACCCACCCTCTCCAATAACTAACTAACTAACTAACTAACTAACTAGGAATGGTGGACTTTGTATTTTAGAAAAAGACTATATATTATATCAAGGGCTGGGCCTATCTGATTTAAGTATTTGAGAAAAGAAAATTGAAGCTCTAAAGAAAACTATAAATAAGATGAAACTATGTAATTTATGTTTCTATAGGGCTCCAGATTGGAATCTGATCCAGGTTATTATATACATATAATTCAGTGCAAATAATTGACTTTACAAAGAGAACAAGTTCAACCTCTATTTCATTGTCAGATAACGTTTTCATAGACAGAGTATTCATATCAATTTCCAAGTTTATCCTGCTTTAAATGGTCTTTTGGATCATGATGGTCAAATATTAATACTTGAAAATTTGCAAACTATGATGCGAAAGAAGCATAAATATGCATTCAGAGACATTCATGAGGACAAAAAAATACAATTTTTTGGTCTCCACTACAAAATGAAAACTGGGAAGAAGTTGACAACCAAGAAATGTTAATAGCAAATTTTCCTCATTAAATCTTGAAAATAGCTTTCCATTAGTACATAACAAGATGGAAAATGTAACTAATAAATGGATAACTAAGGGTATAAGAATATTATGTAGACATAAAAGAACTTCATATAGCAAAGGTAAAATGTGAAGTTGTCCCTGTCATAAAAAATTAAAACACAACACTATGAAGGCGTAAGGGGGACAGGATGTATAGATCTACATGTACTTGACCTTGGCATTAGTTAGAGGTGAGTAGTCAGCTTCATGCCCCGGACGCTCAACCAACAGGAAAATAGCCCCTGGTACCCATTGGCTGGGTAGGCCCCAGAGTCTGTCTGGACGACGTGGAGAAAAGAAAATTCTTGACTGTCAGGACTTGAGAACTCTGACCCTTCAATCATGTAACACATAGGCACTCACTATACTGACTGCGGATAGTACACTTACAAAATCAGGCGACAATAGGCTGAAATCATCATACTATAATACTGCACTATTCAGGAAAATGTAATAAAAGAAGAGAAGAGTCCAGACTATTATAAATTGATAAGTAAATCAGAGGACAAAATACAGGGAGAATTTCACGCAGATTGACAAGTTCACGGCTGTGCCCTTCGCAATGACTGATCTGCTGAGGGATGCATGCAAGTTTTGCCACTGACTCAGCATTCTTCATGGCCAATAACATTTGAAATGGTAAAGGTAAGGTAAAAGTAAAGCTATCCCAGTAACAGGCCACATAGGTCCAAGGGTTGTCAGACATTCAGGGTTACACATTATCTAGATAATTGGCTCAAAGATGGCAGTAAGGCTTTTAGCCTTATATGCCGGCCACCCTCCATCCCCCAGGAATATTCCTGGTACATATTTCTGTTAGAGGCTGAGTCAAAGACAGGCCCATAGTGCAGTTAGAATGATTAGGTCAATTGACAAAGTCCACCACATTGAGACTTGACCCCGAAACCGTCTGGCTTGTAGCATAGTGCCTCAACCAACTACGCTACAATGTACCCCTATATATGCAAGGCCTATTCGGAAAATAACCTCCTGTGAGTTGCCAATAAAACAACGAGAAAAAAAGATTATAGACAAAAAATACGTACACACCAAAGCTATCTCTCAATGCTGTCACCACCAGAACTGAGGCATCTGCAGCATAAGGGAACAAGTTTTTCCATGCCTATGCCAAAGAAATCCACTGCCTGTGAGCTCAGCCACATTTTGTATTATGAAACACTACTGAAACTGCACAAGGCTTTACAGAACAAAGGACATTGAATGACATCTGCTGTAGTGCTTCTCCATGATAATACACACGCACACACACACACTGCTCACACTCTAGCACTTCTGGAGCATTTTGAATGGGAATTGTTAGACTACCCTCCTTACAGCCCTAATCTCAATCAAAGAACTTACCACCCGCTTATCTATCTGAAGAACTAGGTGAGATCACGGTGCTTCAGCCATAATGAGCAGCTGATGACAGGTCAACATGTGGCTGAGCTACAGCCAGACTTCCCCAACACAGCGAAACAAAAAGCCAATCCCTGATACCACAAGGGCCCCAATATTGGGGGCGACGATGTAGAGGGAGCAGATTAAATATGTATATATTTCCTTTGTATAAAATAACATTCTTTCAAATTGCTTGCTTTGCCAACAGCTCACCAGACGCTACCTTCTGATCAGGCCTCATACTTTGCAAGACCCATACTATTTATGAATGCCAGACTGTCATACATGCCACTGTGTTCATTGTCAAGGATGCAGTGAAATGTATGACATTCATTATATATCAGGAACAGTACAGAGTGCACTGCACTGCAGACAAATGGGTGGTGGATCACCTCACAACAAATGTCTGCCTGTTAAGCGAGTGTGATAAATCTGAAGATGTGACCATATCTTTCTCTCTTCTGATGCTGCTGAGGGCTGCCACACCTGAACAGACACTCTCACTGCTCACAATCCGCTGCTTTGTGTTGGTCCCCTTGTCTTGCCAAGAAGACTCGTTAGTGCAAAGATAGGCATGGACACTACTGCCCACGACTTCAGCTGATACCTGGTCTCCACGCAAAATGTCTTCCTTAGCAATGGCACTGGTAGCCTCACTTCTGAACTGAGAAGTATGCCCCAGGAACCTGCCAAAGACAACAGACCTCCCTACCTTATGGAGGTTGCAGACTTTGCAGACAATCTCAGTGACAATCAGATGGTCTGATGCACATGCAAGAAGACTTCAAGATGCTTAGACTAGGTAGATTTACTTTGGTTTGATTTATTAATGCTTATTTCATATTGGTTTTTGGTAGCTTAGCCCATATTTTTATATACTGTAATATTTATGTACATCACATGGGTAGAGTTGTGTTGTGGCTATCATCACTATCATCAGTGAATTGTATCAAGTAAGAGTAATGTATATATGAGAAGTGAAACCAATATTAGTCTTTCATTTTGCTTTAACAAGGTTACGGGAGATGTAAACGTTTATTCATTCCAATATACATCAATCTCATTTCGAGAAGTTTCACTGCTGAAAAGAGACAAAGCCACTTCTAAAACACAACAAAATTAGCTGAGTATCTATAAAAACCAACCCAACCCATAGGAACTGTGAGCTCACCGAATGTAGGAATATATCACCTGCCAATCAGATCACTAAACTTCACCATCATCAATTTGGTCATGATAAAACATAAAAAATGTATCAGTGCAATCTCCTAATTCAGAAAATTATCAGTTAGGCTGCGACAAAACTTCATCAAAAATTTCAATATTCATTGCTACAGGATACAGTTGTCATCTACCTTAACTGCTGTAAGTTTTTTTGCCTTGTCTATATCACTGTCTTGTCGTACTGAATTCCAAAGCGGCATGATGAGGCAGCCTTGTTACAACCCTTTTATTTGTCAATGAGGGAAGGTATCTTGTAGATCTCTACATAATATTATATTCATAAATGAGAGCTTGTTTATGATTTTTCAACAGTTGTCAGCATGAGCCATCTGTTCCCAGTTAACAGTCAGCAGTGTGGCGTTGCATGGCAGGGCTCGATATACTTCAGAGCAACGCATATTTCTGCATCACACCTATGTGAAATACAGATATGCTAGAAAATGTTAGCAAAAATTTTGGAATGAAAGTTCACAACAGACAAAATTCATAATTTGGTGAATAAACTCAGAACAACAGGACTCTTAAGAAACAACAGAATAATTAAAAGGCAAAATCTTTTAACATCATATACATGCAAATTTATTCTGCAACTGCAAAAAATTTTGTACACCACTTTGAAAAATGTAGTCAAAATCTTTTCTGGCCTCCATAACAATCACTTCCATGCAGGCCCTTGCATCCTCAAAACTGCAATGTCCAAATTGATCCTGCTGAATCTCTCTCTCCAAGAACTCGCTTCCGAGTGACTTCAGGGACCGAGGATATGGAAGACCATTAGAGTGAGGAAATATTACAGATGTGTCAACCCCACTGCCGTGGGTAATGCGCAGGGCAAGAAGGTCATTCTCTAATCCATGACCCACAAGTATAGTATCAGCATTTATGAAGCCCATTAAATCGTTCTGGACATCCCATAATGATTTTGTGGCATTCTCGCTGAGATCATGTACCGTGATTCCTGAAAACCTCGTGTTATATTCTATAATGTCGCTCTCTGGCTTCACCAACCTGTCGTACACGAGATGACCATCGGAGGCCACCACAGTCACTCTAATTTGATTTAATTAGTTCAGTGCCACATGCTGTGTAACACATCTCACAGTCTACTGCATAAATACCAAAATTCCCATCAGGGGGAAGTCTTATGAACACGAGTTTGAACATAACCATCAAGTGTGTCATTTACTCCAGGGCCGATGCCATTCCACAAATGTAATTCTCCCAAACTACACCCACATGAAATTCGACTACCTCCACAGCAACTGTACTGTCTTCTAGCTCTCACAGCACCAACGGAAATGACCTTGTGGGGCTGGGGCGCCACTGCCTTCTCTAACTTGCCCCAGTGATAAATAAGTTTTTCTTGAGTCACGTATTTCCCGTCCATTGTTAAATAGAAACCACGACCACAGTGGGCACACTTCTTCTCACTAGTATCACTCAACTGCTGATCTTCGCCCTCACTCTTCAGGGTACCGTTTCATGATTTACTGTCCTTCTCTTTCATGACGCCTTGAAATTTCACACTTCAGCCTCTGCTAGTACCTTCACACCGTCCTCCTTCGTAGCTGAGTTTCATATGACAGAGAAATGCAGCTACACCACGGTTACCACTAAATGTATCACTGTTCTGACTGCCTGCTGTTTCACTTACAGCCTTATCTAATAGCCTTGGTCGTTTTCCATATTTGATGTGCTTCTTGTTGGTGTGATGGCATGCGATTCCTGTTGGCAATGTTCAGTCGCCCATAAATGAACGAATTCAGTAGCACTGACGTTTAATCGTGAGGAAGCTGTGCCCCGTTGAAAGAGTATGTAAACAGTAGGATCTTTGTAGATAACTGCTTTTCCAGGATGTACGTGACTATCGACGGGGTAGCCTAGATGTAGAAGCTGATCAGAACTTAAGATACAATGACTCAGAAATATCCAAAGGATTCTGTTCGTTAGGTTCATCTGGGAATGCAGGCATAGTGCGGGGGGACTGATGATGATTTGTCCATTTATTTTCCTGTGTCCAGAATCGACTGACCGAAAACCTCTGGCTCTGCTCTTGCTCGTCTTTGTTTGGATGCCATCTTGATTTTCCTTGTGTTGAAGAGCGAACTTCTTCTTATGACGGCTGAGGATAACTCCTTTCCCATTATCATGTGGGTTGCTTTATTTTATGCTTTCACTCCCACACTACACCCACATGAAGCACATGAACTTCGACTACCTCCACATCAACTGCACTGCTTTCTAGTTCTCACAGCACCGACAGCAACGACCTTGTGGGGCTGGGGCGCCACTGCCTTCTCTAACTTGCCCCAGTGATAAATAAATTTTTCTTCAGTCGCGTATTTCCTGTCCATTGTTAAAAGAAAATACGACCACAGCGGGCACACTTCTTCTCACTAGTATCACTCAACTGCTGATCTTCGCCCTCGCTCTTCAGGGTACCGTTTGATGATTTACTGTCCTTCTCTTTCGTTAACGCCTTGAAATTTCACACTTCAGCCTCTGCTAGAACCTTCACACCGGCCTCCTTCGTAGCGTAGTTGAGTTTCAAATCACAGAGAAATGCAGCGACACCACGGTTACCACTAAACGTATCACTGTTCTGATTGCCTGCAGTTTCACTTACGGCCTTATCTAACAGCCTTGGTCGTTTTCCATGATATTTGATGTGCTTCCTGTTGGCAATTTTCCGTCACCCGTAAAGGAACGAATTCTGTAGCATTGACATTTAATCGTGAGAAAGTTATGCCCCGTTGGAAAAGTGTGTAAACAGTAGGGTCTTTGTAGATAACTGCTTCTCCAGGACGTACGCGACTATCGACGGGGTAGCCTAGTTGTAGAAGCTGATCGGAACTTAAGATATAATGACTCAGAAATATCGAAAGAATTCTGTTCCTCAGGTTCATCTGGGAATGCAGGCGTAGTGCGGGGGCACTGATGATGATTTCTCCATTTATTTTCCCGTGTCCAGAATCGACTGATCGAAAACCTTTGGCTAGGCTCTTGCTCATGTTTGTTGGGATGCCATCTTGATTTTCCTTGTGTTTTAGAGCGACCTTCTTCTTCTGACGACGGCTGAGGCTAACTCCTTTCCCATTATCATGTGGGTTGCTTTATTTGATGCTTTCACACCCACATGAGCTTCGACTACCTCCACAGCACACTCCCCACTGCACAGCTCACTGCGAAACTCGTCCATTCTTCGATTCTGCTTGCTTCTGACACAGGTAGACACTGAACTTACGCGCCACATACGAACGCTTTATATAGCAAAGCAACGCAGCCACGTAACCGGCGCGCGACTTCCACGTGTCAACAGGCAACGTGTACAGGTAACGGTGCTGTTACGCAACCGAAGCCCAGCTGTGAGGCATAACGTAACACTACTCGCTAAGGCACTGAAGAAATTATGACATATTACGCAATCTGTATTTACAAGAGCCCGCACACTTTTGGGTATCTAGACATTTTAAATTATTGCCATTATAGAAGTAATTCTGAAACTGCAAGCGATAGTATTACAAGCAAGACTTCAAAGGTAGCCAGATATTTCTAAAAATTTAGAAAGCCCATCCCTGCTCATTGTGGTACTTGGCCAGATTTGTTTTCAAGTTTTTTCTCCCTCCCATGGGGTGTGATAGGCCCAACATTATTATATTTGTTCCTTAGCTAGGGATCAGTCGCTGGCTTCCCACCTCGGTGGCCTGGGTTCAATCCCGGGTCTGATCAAGTGGGATTCGTGGTGGACAAAGTGGCTCTGGGGCAGGTTTTCTCCGAGTACTTTGGTTTCCCTTGCCAATCTTCACTCCACCAATTGCTCCACAATCAGCCTCACCTATCATCTGGGGCTGGTACAACAGGCCAGAAGTGACTGCAGTACAAGGGACTTAGTCCACCCCACTAGCAATAAATAAAATAAATAAAATAGCTAGGAATTTGTGTTGTGTGGCAGTTGAGTGAACTCGTAGTGAGGAAGATCATTTTATTTGAAGAAAAGAAAAATGAATCATCAGTGTGAAAGATGCATTAGACTGGTGATCAGGGTTTAGCTTCTACAATTTCAGTTTTGTTGTGGTCTTAACCCTCGTAACCATCTGAGGAGGCGGAAATTGTACACAGCTCTCGACCAATCAGAGGGCCTTAACAAACCCATTTGAATTCCCACAATTAAATGATTGTATGGAAGTTTGTAAGTATTAATTTTGATTTGATCTTTATATGAAATGGGAGTAGACATTTATGCACAAAGTTTCATCTCCATGTTAAACATATTATTTGTGCATATGAATGTTATTCTTACTACAATGAATCAGATTATAAATATATAGAATCCTTTCAAGCCCAGAATTTTTGAGGTGATGATGAACTGTTATCTAAACCACATTTCTTTTATATGTTCTGCAATTTTGGGTTAGCCCAAGATTGTCTGTAGAATGTCAAGGAGTTCTAAGTGTACTGTGATGGTGTTACAATTTTTGTATTGCTTCTTGCAGTATATATGAAGAAGGGAACAAAAACTTGCAGTGCTTCTGGGTGCTTGTCATTCAGTAGACAGAAAGAAGTAAAATTCTTCAACTTTCACAAGGATGCAGGACGGTATGTATCTTTTAATTCGTGGTGTACTGCTTTATTACATGTTGCATAATTCAACAAAGAAATTAAGTTTAGCTTCTGTCTGAAATCAGTTTATTCAACAACAAAATTTAGCACATGCACCATGTTTGTAATGTTTACTGATGAATTATTTTCAGGTTTCAAGACAATTTGTTCTACTTTTAGAGGGCAGTGGTATGGGCAGGAAAAGTTGCAATATCCTGCACTATTGATTCTGATAGACTGCTGCACAAGAAGCATTCGTGCAGCAGACATTTCATGGAAAGTGATTTCACTACAGGGAAAAATATAATCAGATGTACAAAATTTTATAATGGCAGTCTCTTGTGTAAAGTAACGTGTTATTTTCAAATCTGAAAAAGTATGGTAGTCCATCATGTAAGGAAGCCCACTAATTTCCTTTTTAGTGTTCTTTCAGGAGGGTGTTGGGGTGAATACCTGGCAACATCTGTTTGATCACCCCCCTGTGAAGATATTTGGAGCCATTCATTCGTACTCTGGTTCAAACAATAACCCAGCTGTGGGACATGTTGTAGATGCCCTGAAGACTAGCATCATCAATGCACTTTCTTTTAGAGGTCTGTCTGGGTGAAACTTATTGTAGGGATGATGACGCTACTGTTCTGGATAACCTACAGTCATTGCTCAGGGAACAAAATCTGTCCACAAATCATGGCAAGGAAATACCTGATGATGTTTCAGAGTTTCTATGTTACTCATCAAGTACAGAAGGACATAGGTGCTGCAGTACATGCTGGTGACATGGAAGTGTTCTCAGTAGCCAATGTCAGTGGTACTGCTGCCAGACTGGTGCTTCATGGTGTCAGCTGCGATGCATGCAAGACACTGTTGCCTTTACTGTTATAAGGATGGTGAAATTTAGTGAAAGTTAGTGAAATGCTGCATGCTTAATTGATAAATACTGTATGTGGAGCATGGCACGGCCCTTACATGATTAAGTTTTATCCAATTGTTTGCTATCCACCTGGCTAGGTGCCTGCTTCCTCTCCCTCTACTTCTCATTTTTGTGCATCCTTCTCCTCTTATTCCTCTCCTCATACAAAGACAGTGCCTCCTGGAGCCATTCCAATATTGAAAGTAGAACTAAACACCTCTGTTTTGGTTTTCCAACACATATCCTCAACCTAATTTATAGTAATTTGCTCTCTTACGAAGTTTTGTCCAGTCTTTTGATATCTCCCATGATGCTGGTTTCCCGAAGTTGACTCCATGTAATACTATTCACTGTGTGGTTCCTTCTAGAAAAGCCTACAGATTTGTTAGAAATCTTATTTGTTTAACCTTCAGTCCTTCATTGCCTGCCTTTTGCCGGGGAGGGGGGGGAGAGGGGTGCAAAATCCATATTTGTATCGAAACAGTACTGGTTTCCTATGTGCAATGAATTATGCTTGGGTAAGGACTCCAGAAATGTGCTTCCCCTCTCACCACAGATGAGTTAATGAAGATTACTGACTTGTGCAATTTTTTCCTTTATCTGAATATATTAAATATTAAATGAGAATGATTTATTGCCATGTGTAATATGCAGAAACAGATGAATATATTTCGGCACCCTTATCATAAGCTCTGACATGGAGTCTTTCAGTATCCCACATGAAATATACTGCAAGACTACAGTCAGATGGAACTTGCAAAGTTGCTGACATGCCATATTACACAGGAGAGGGTTATTCTTCGTGCAGGATTAGTAATTGTATGTCTGTCTTTCAGTGCACTGCTTACCAGAGCAAGAGATGAAATACTTAGATTTCAGAATGAACTCAGAGTAGGGGAACTGCATAACTGAATATGAGAGTGAACCACATTCCCAGAGAGAGCATGTGAAGGGAGAAATCATGAGTGCCCTGCAGAAAGAGTTATATGTCCAGAGAGGAGGAAGCAAAAGATGCTGTTCCAAAGGATGCTGCCATGATAAAGGTGAGGCTTGACAGTAATGCCAAGCACTAGCCTGCTCTGTCCGGTTCACATCCATGTACTCCATATACTTGAGATACATTTTTTTTTTCCCATATGGTGTTACTCTAGGAATAAGAATTTTAAGCACTTGTAGCTAAATGCCATAGCACCACATGCCAGAAGCAAGGATTTTATTTTGTAATTTTATAAAATTGCTTCCAGACAGTATAATCAGAGAGGAAGAGTTCAAACTTAGCCAAGCATGGAATCTCAGCACCAGATTCTTATGGCACTTGAAAACATACATCATGAAAATCCCAAGAAGACAGAGTACAGCATCCTAGTGTGTGCGACAATGAAATGCAAAGTGTGTAAATCAGAGATAACACTGTATTTCCTGTATTTAAGTGTGATTAAGAGAGGTTGTAACCAAAGTGACAATAACTGAAACCATCTGAACTAGAACCCGTCATTTTGTCACATGTACCATCCTACACGTGACAATATAATTCCGATCTAAATCTATCCCCATCTGATCACCATTGTCTCCCTCATGTCCAGTCCATGTTATCGTTCCATCTCCATCTTGTTCCAAGTGGATGTTTTGCCTTGAAAATGTTGTGTGCACGCACATGACTGCCTGGTGCAGGATATCCTACATTTCATCATCCACATGATAGCAGGTGATGTGGCTTGTCAGTATATAATATCCTAATTTGGACACTTTATCCTTCATAGGTAGTATAATAAGCTTTCAAAAATTCCACCATCAATGCATTTTGCAACTCGTGTGAGGACATGGCATGTTGCAGGTCTGAGTGCATCTTGACGTTCCTTTATGCAGGCGATAACATGAAATAGCTCTGTCTCAGAAACCGTTCAGAGTAGGATACATGTACATATCCACATTTTTGCTTAGAATGATTGGTACTGTGACCTCCAAGAATATTGACGTTTCCTACTGGTCCACACTGTATATGTCAATGATGTATGGTCATTCACCACATCAACCCTGATGCTGGAAGAGGAAGAGATGAAATATTGGTTTAAGTCAACATTGACACAGTTGATCATGAAAAAGCTTTTAGTACAATCATTTTATACATCTGTACTGAAATATGCAGTTTATATCGACACAAGAACTGGAGTCAGAGTTTTCTTCCTGTTTTCTCTCCCCCTAGATCGAATAAAGAAACTGTCAGCCCTTGGTTTCCAGCCTGATGACTCTATAGCTGCTGTGTCTCATTGCATCAGGCACCTGGATGTTTCTGCCCTCTGGCTCACTCACAATTCAGGCTTGGCAGATAACAGCTATTCGAGGAAAAGACTACATAGGCAATAATAATTCTGTACTATCATTTCATATTATAGAGGTACACAGCAGTTATGCAGGGTGTACAGTTTATCATCAGACTAGTTCCTGCTGTTGATAATGGCATCTTTCTTGCACAGATCTGTTGTGGTAGCTGATAGTTCATGGCTTACTGTTCCACTGTAGTTTAACTTGTGTAATATTTATTTTATTGTATCATCAAAACATAGTTTTCAGCAGATGTGGTTGCTGTGTAAGATGACAAGTTTTGGCACATCTTCAGGTGCAAGCCAAGGTAATAAGGAAACAAGAGGAGTCTATCATGAGTTTCAGTAGGGAGCTGGAACTTGCAAGAACTGAGATTGGTCTCTTAAAAAGGGAATTAAATTTAGCAGATAATTGTCCTGAAGAATTCAGGTCTGTGTCCAGCTCCTGAAGAAAACTTAGAAAAAAAATTTCCTTCTTCACTGGCTATGCTGGAGCCTCAAAGTGATGGTGACTCTGTGGATCAGCCTATTTCAAAAGCAAAGCCTAAGCATAAGATTCTTTTGTTGAGTAGTACTCATGGTAGGGATATCAGGCAGAGGCTCCAGAATACAGTGGGAGGTGCATATGCAGTGACCAGCATGGTCAAGCCCAATGCTGACCTGAGCAATGTTACTGGGGACATGGGAAATTTGTGTAAAGACTTTGGTAAAGATGACCAGGTAGTTATAGTTTGGGGACCAGGAAACAGTTTGGATACGAATATCAATTACCAAATTGAGAAAGATATAGTTGACACGGACCAGAAAGCCAGGCACACCAGTGTGATGTTCGTTGGTCTTCTCTGATGACATGACAAGCCATGGATTAACAGGTGGGTAAGGGAGGTTAATCTTGAACTTAAGCATTCACTTGTGGAGTCGGCAGAACTCTCATTGATGTGACTGATGTCACTTCAGTATTGAGGAGTCGGCATACTGTCCATGGTCCATATCCTAATCCTTGAGGCAAGAAGAAGCTCGTGCAACTCGCTGCATAGAATATTAAAGGTAGACACATTCCAGTTGTCATGGCTGTTCAGAATTATCTTCTAAGTTAAAGTGTACAAAGTAAAAGTAATTAATCGTTTAGACAATAATACAATTGTAGTAATAGAAATCAGGAAAGAAAATGGTAATTTACTAAAATCAATGAAGAATAAAATATTAAGAGTATTCCACCATAATATGTGAGGATTGAGAAACAGAACAAATTGTTAAGCTCCATGAATTCAGATCTTGCACACACACTGTGCCCTACTGAACATCACAAGAAACAGCTGGAATTAGAACATTTTCACATAGAAAATTGTAATTCAGGTGCTATATGTTGTAGAAGAAAGCCAGAGAAAAGGGGAGTGAGTATTTTTATACATAAAAATCTAAAATATACTAAAATAGATTTATATTATTTTAAAGTTCAGGATTTAGAAGCATGTGTTTTAAAGTTAATCTCTACCTTTTCTAATATCTGTATACTGACTTTATATAGAGCGCCATCTGGAAATTTCAGTCACTTCTTAAATAGGTTAGAAAACACCCTCAATGTATTCCACTGTCCAAAAATTGAAATTGTAATCTGTGATACTGTAAATGTAAACTATCTTGTTGATATAAGAGTAATCATGGACCTAAATTTAGACTCTCTGCTATAATCTTACAATCTCTCTAGTACTGTTAATTTTCCCACAAGAGTTCGAAACAACTGTATATCAGTGATAGATAATATATTCATTGATGACTCAAAAATAGGAGAGTATACCATAGGACCCCTTATAAATGGCTTATCCAACCCTGAGGCACAACTCATAGAAATAAATAATACTGACTTTCAGTTCAGTAATCAACAATATCAAATTGTAAAGATCATCAATAAGCATATGATGGCAGATTTTGTCACAAATTAAGTAATGAATCTGTAATGAAGCTGTATTTGATAGCAATGATATCAATTCTAAATTTAATTTCTACCTAAATATATATTTAGGGAATCTTTCATTCTAATTTTCCTTTAAAAAGGGGTCAGAAATGAAACTAAAAGCAAAATGTGGATAACACAGCGCATAAAAAGCTCATGTAAACACAAAAGACAAATATATTTGGCCAGTATGGGTGGTAATGATCCAAGACTAAAAAGTCACTACAAACTGTAATTGTAAAATACTGTCAAAAGTCATTAACGAAGCTAAACAGAATAATTACAATTGCCAAATTCTAGAATCAAATAATAAAATTAATACCACCTGGAAAATTGTGAAAGTTGAATGAGGAAAGAAAACTATTAATGAACATGTACAAATACTGAATATTGGTGGCAAGTCCACTAAAAATCCACAAGCTACTGCAATGCATTTAATGAATATATCCTTTCATAAATTGCAAAAATATGTCAATAATAATAATCCAATACATTATTTATCACATGCTTCTGATAATTCATTACGCAATACAAATCTCAATTTCTAAGAAACAAAGGAAATTGAAAATGCTATCAAATCCCTTATGCCCAAAAATTCACATGGATGTGATGAAATCTCTATTATTATACTTACATACATACATATACATTTGCGTTTCAGATTATTCACAAATGTGCACAGGCACAGAATATAAAACATGTCAACAAGCCAACAAGACATTGGACACTTGTACATTCACAAACAAAATCACTAGCATATATAATCCATACTTGTAAAAAAACACATAAAATTGTTAAAAGGAAATACAGATTGCAGCAAATACACATACAATAGTTAAAAAGCAATACAAATTGCAACAAGTACACATACAATAGTTAAAAAGCAATACAAATTGCAGCAAGAATATATAAGCACAGCCAAGGACATAGAGTTAAATGAAGTGTACACTGTCAGACACCTCTTGACAGGTCTTGACAGAAAAGCAAGAATTCCTCAACAGTATAAGAAGGGTTTTGAAGCAATACATCCTTTAGTTTCTCAATAAACTGTTTTTTATCATGTACCAACTCAATTAAAAAATCAGGCAAACTATTAAAAACTTTTAC